TTGCCTTGTGTACTTGGACGACGTCGTCGTGTTTTCCTCGAGTTTCGACGAGCATATTCGGCGCCTTGAAGCTGTACTTCAAGCCATCAAGACTTCCAGACTCACACTGAAGCCAGAAAAGTGCAGATTTGCGTATGAGGAGCTCTTGTTTCTGGGGCACGTTATCAGCAAGTCTGGAGTTCGTCCCGATCCACGGAAAACAGCCGCCATCGCCGACTTCCCACCGCCCACTGACAAGAAAGCCGTGCGCCGATTTATGGGCCTGTGTGCCTATTATAGGCGGTTCGTGAAAAACTTCGCCCGCATCGCCGATCCTCTCACTAACCTTACCAAGGCCGACGTGGAGTTTAAGTGGGAAACGCCGCAGGAACTCGCTTTCCAGGAGCTTAAACATCGCCTCCAGACGCCTCCGTTACTTGCCCATTTCGACGAATTCGCCGAGACAGAAATACATACTGACGCAAGCAGCGTAGGTCTTGGCGCCGTTATTGTGCAGAGGGCTGACGGACTTGAAAGGGTTATTAGTTACGCCAGCCGATCGCTATCCAAAGCAGAAGCAAATTATTCCACAACACAAAAGGAGTGCCTCGCCATCATCTGGGCTACGTCGAAATTTCGCCCCTACCTCTACGGCAGGCCCTTCAAAGTTGTGAGCGACCACCACGCATTGTGTTGGCTAGCCACCTTGAAGGACCCTTCAGGTCGCCTCGCACGGTGGAGCCTGAAACTTCAAGAATATGACATTACTGTCATTTACAAGTCCGGCAAAATACACTCCGACGCCGACTGTCTCTCTCGTGCGCCTGTCGACCAACCGCTACCCGACGACCCGGATGACGACTTTTTCTTAGGAACAATAACTACCGACGACTTCGCTGAACGACAGAGGGCCGACCCGGAACTTAAGGCCCTAATAGAATACCTCGAAGGCAGGACCGCCGAAGTCCCGAAGGTATTCAAGCGCGCACTTGCGTCGTTCTTTCTACGCAACGGTCTTCTACAAAAGAAAAACTTTTCACCGCTTCGAGCTAAGTACCTCCTTGTGGTGCCTTCAGCTCTGCGACCAGAACTCCTGCAGGCCCTGCACGACTATCCGACGGCAGGGCACCTCGGTGTGTCTCGCACGCTCGCGAGGATACAAGAAAGGTACTACTGGCCACGTCTTACCACCGACGTCACTCGTTATGTGAGAACATGCCGGGACTGTCCGCGACGCAAGACACCGCCGACAAGGCCAGCGGGACTTCTGCAGCCAATTGATCCACCTTGCCGACCTTTCCAGCAGATTGGTATGGACCTACTGGGGCCGTTTCCGACGTCGGCTTTCGGAAACAAGTGGATCGTGGTAGCCACCGACTACCTCACCCGCTACGCCGAGACAAAAGCCCTGCCAAAAGGCAGTGCATCCGAGGTAGCTAAGTTCTTCGTCGAAAATATCGTCCTACGTCACGGCGCCCCGGAGGTCCTTATCACCGACAGAGGAACGGCATTCACTGCCGACTTAACTCAAGCGATCTTGGCATACAGCCAAACGAACCACCGCCGGACGACAGCGTACCACCCACAGACCAACGGCCTCACCGAGCGGCTTAACATGACGATCCCCGACATGCTTTCAATGTACGTCGATGTCGAGCACAAGACGTGGGACGCCATTCTTCCGTATGTGACCTTCGCATACAACACGGCGGTGCAGGAGACGATGCAGATATCTCCATACAAATAGGTCTACGGAAGGAGCCCGGCAACGACGCTCGATGCCATGTTACCCAACGTCACCGACGAAGAAAACCTCGATGTGAGCGAGTACCTTCAACGCGCCGAAGAAGCCCGACAACTTGCGCGTCTCCGTATCAAGAATCAACAGACGACCGACAGCCACCGTTACAACCTTCGACGACGCTTCGTGGAATACCAGCCCGGTGAACGTGTTTGGGTGTGGACGCCGATACGCCGACGTGGACTAAGTGAAAAGCTTCTGCGACGGTACTTCGGACCGTACAGGGTGGTTCGACGTCTCGGCCCACTTGATTACGAGGTTGTCCGCGACGGCATCACGAACTCTCAACGACGCCGATCGCGACCTGAAGTCGTCCATGTCGCGCGCCTCAAGCCGTTTCATGCGCGTTAACAAACTAAACCCGTGTTTTTTATTATTGTTGTATCGTAATTTATTCATTGTACTTTCTTGCATTATTATTGTACTTTCATCTTTAGTTAAAGCATCGGGACGATGCCTTTTTTCAGAGGGGGGCAATGCCACGTTCCATTTCCCAAGTTTTTGTTATCGTCCCAAAACACCACACGATTCTCAGCGCGAACCGCGCCTGCAGTTTTCGAGAAGGTTCCGGACTGTAGTAGATCATTTCGATAAGATCACGCCCACTGTGCGAACAATACAGATTGTTCTGGAACATACGCCACCGCCAGCGATAACGCTAGAACATTCGACGGCAAGAGTATAAATGCCGACGCGCTTCGCCGCTTGACAGTTGTTGATCGAAGGCCGACGCTCCGTTCGCCGCTATCAGTCCGAGACTGCTATCTGTGCGAGACTGCTGCTGTAATTGGACTTTCTGTTTAACGGGCACAGGTTCGCCCAAATAAACAGTTAAATCCCAACCCGAAGTCTCCTGTCTTCGGCCACGTCACGACCCCGTGACAATATAGACAAATTCCACCGGACTTACGTCACGAAAAGGCGATGGTGCTGTCTTGGTTGGCGAAAGACCCTTTGTCTACCTAAGTTTCTGATGCGTTTTTAATAGTGCATGTGGTGTTCTTCTCAGTGAAGCAACGTGAAAGAAAAAAAATTGGCAGCATATCCATGGAGTGAATGATGGAGAGTGGGGCGAAGCATTGCGCCGTCCATTCGTTCTTGCTTCCGTCCATCCATGCGTGCGTCTGTTCGAGCGTCCGTTCCTGCGTTCGTCCATGCATATGCCCCTGCGTCCTGTTCATGCTTCCATCCATGCATCTGTATGTGTGTCCGTTCGTCCATCTATGTAACACTTCAAGTACCACCATCTCGCATCTTTTCATCATTTATTCCCCATATAGAAGCACCGCCATCCAGCGGCCATTCCAAGGAATAAGCGAGAGGTGGCACACGCACACTTTCTTACGGCTTGCGCTTCGGGTCTACTTCCCACCTTTAACCACCTCGAGTTCATAGTATATACTAGTTCACTGTATTCATGACACAGCGGCCGAACGCTCGCTAAACCTATCGAAAACCAAGGAGGTTACACCCAGCGAGTATGACGTAGCAAACTTCTACAGTCGGACTGTGCTCAATGTACATGCCAATGGCTGCTAATGGGAAATGAGAGGCGGAGAATTCGGCTTTTATTTTCTTACGGCTTGCGCTTCGTATCTACTTCCCATTTTTAACCACCTCGAGTTCATTCATGGTATATACAAGTTCATTGTATTCATGGCACTGCGGCTCAACGCTCGCTAAACCTTTCTAAAGCTAAGGAGGTTACACCCAGCGAGTATAACGTAGCAACCCTTTCTTGTCAGATAGTGCTCAATGTACATGCCAATGGCTGCTAATGTTGATCGCAGCCTGCGCGTTAACTAAAAGCCGAATGCTCCTGTCTCTCATTCCCCATTAGCAGCCATTGACATGTACATTGAGCACTATTTTTTATTTTTCAACAACGCACAGAAGAAGTCTCTCACCAGCACCACCTTGGAGGTCAAAATGTTATACTTGTTACATACTACGGGGGACGAACGGGTGCCGCTATAAGGAGCTTCGCCCCTAAAAAACGCACACAGGAAGGGCGTGCTAGCTTCAACCGTTCAAAAAGGTCGGTCGATTGCAAAAAGCGCAGTAGCGCTTGCAGGGCTTTCATTTGTGACGTTTCATCCAGGCGATATTGTAAAAGTTTCGCTTGGACAAACGTTTTCGCAGTTTTCCGTTTATACCGACCGCCTAAAGAGTGCTACATCCAATCAAAATTTCCACTGTGGTTCCTCATCATTGACTCTGTTTTCTTTCTTGAGCCCATTATCAAATCGCGGAACAACTTGTGTCGAAACGGTGGTAATTTCCTTCTGATGGAATTACTTCAAATAAAATAACAACCCTGTTTTCTTAGCATTTTCTCCATGCACAAGCTACAGTCAAACTAATGTGTCTAAAATTTATGGTGCAGTTGTTGTGCACATAAAGTTTTTTTTTTAATTAACTAGAAGGGACACTGTCACTGCAATCGTTCAGCGACCATGTGAATGATGGGTGGTACACACATTTGCCTAGTCTTCGTACTTGCGGGGGCAAATCGTACTTGCGGCTTCATTTATTGCTGTGTTTGAGTTTTGTTTTGAAAGAAAGATTCACCCCTTTTGAACTTCGTGACCGGATTTGGAAAAGTAAGTCTAAAATAATAAGGTGGTGAAGCGCAACCACTGAACATTTGCTGATATTTATTTCGTGAGATAACATCTCCAAGCCACACGAACACACACGGAGCCAAAAGCAGGCCAGAAGTATGAAGATTAGACAAATGTGCTTACTACCTATCGTTCCCATGCTCGATGAAGCGCCGTGCGTTGCAGCTCTCATAGACACTAACGCCAGAGTTCCCTCTAATAGGAAACTCTATAATTTTATTGTTGTGTGATTTCAAACGATTGTGGATTCAATAAGAAGTTCCTGACTTGACAGTAACAGTGCGATACCACGTGGTGTCATTGATTATTGCTCTACTATCTTATTTCTGCCAAATTGTTAAACATAGTGTATGTGGTAATTCTGTCTCATATAAGACTCCTTTCAAGGACACCGAGTGAGTACACTCATGGATGCCTCACTCGAAAAGCTAATTTTTCGAGGCGTACGATGTAACGCTAATCACTGCCTTCTTTATATTAAAAAACAACAAGGCTGTGACAGGCACAAGTGCCAATCACAAAATTCCACACACGTATCTCGTATCTGAATTACCTTCAGATACGGGATTAACTCAAGATAGCTATGCAGGACATACCTAGAATTCCGAGCCTGTAGTTGATGGTGACAACGACCACATTTCCGTAGCTGGCAAGTACAGAGCCGTCGTAAGCACTCCCAGAGTTCCATTCGTATGACTCGCCGTGGATGAACATGATGACCGGAAGTTTCGTGGGATCCCGCGCCACTGCAAAATTGAGAAACAAAGTGCGAAAGGTTACTCCAATATTATTATTTCGTTAGTATACATAGAAAACACGAAGTCACAGAGAAAACAGGGAGAGAACAGGCTGACAACTGCCACCTATAGGGGCACAACTCCTGCTGAAAGGGAGACAAAGAGGAAAGGGAGGCAGGAGGGCAGACAAAAAGGAAAGAAAGGGGCAAGTAAAAGAAAAAAAGAAAATAACACGTAAGCTGAAATAAATAGACACATGAAGAATGTCTGTAAACACGAGGCCAAGTATGTATAATAAGAAAGCCATAGATGCCGTGGAAGAGAACTTTAGAGCTCCAATAAAGGCAAATATTAAGTCGACGTTGATTGTTGAAATAGTGGTCCACAAAAATCTTAGTGTTGCTTTTGTGCCAAGGAAGTGCTTATTTTGAAATAAAATTGGGTTTTTTTTTTGGTCCACATCGGGTTAGCGCAATTCAGAATATCAGCCTCAAGCAGAACGTCTCACGTCACTGTTGCCGTGCACAACGTTTCCCGGCTTTACTGTGCGGTGACCGACAATATTAGCGGCAGAACGAAAGCAGCAGGAGCCACAGTAGCAACAACTGTGATTGAACAATTTCCTGCGATTGGCTCCGAGATAGCAGACGTGCTTGGTTCAACTAGACCCCGCTATGTGGCATAACCTGTACAGTTTAACCAGGCTGAAATTGAACTTTTCAACCACTCGCACCAATCCTCAAAGTAACGTCTAGCGTTTTTTTTTTTTCATATTTCAAACGAAAGCAAACAAGCCGCATTTTATTACATCTCTTCAAAATTCTTCACTTAGTGCAGCTAGTTCGAATATTAGTGACTAATTGTAGGCTGTAACTCTGACGTCATCAGGATCATTTTGTGAATATCGTACTGCGGGTCATGTGTTAACGTGCATTCACCCTAATGTCTTGGTAAGTAGGGCACTGCATTTGATAATAATGACATTCAAGGCAACAGCGTTGAAAAGCTCGTTTCTCGAAAGTTCCGGCGTCGGCGTCATTAGTTGCGAGTGAAAAATCATCATCTTATGCGTGACCACAAAGTCTAGCACGATCGAAATAAAATAAATGAATACTTAAAAATCCTGGAGCAGAGTGAGGACCAAACCAGGGTTGTTTGGGTTCAAGTAAGGATCAAACCCGGGTCGTTTGCGTGGCAAGCGGATGTTCTACCACACGGCCACACCTCTTCTTTCTGCTTTATTGCCTTTTCATAGGCGCGCTACTTCAAACCACAAGCATAACAGAAACAAGCAGTGACCTTTGTCTACAAGAAGGACACAAATTCAAGTGCCTGAAGTGCTGCCAAAGGTTCTACCCTCGACAACCATCGAGTACAATCTCCTGAGCTTTCTCAGTCCAGCTAACTTGGCTATACATTCACGAAAATACAATTCGTGCAGGCCGTGCATCCTGATCGCAATAAAATACCGCCATACGGTCCCGCCATAAACACTGAAGGCTCCTTAGCATAATCAAATCAAAAGGCATTCCCTCTTCGTCAGCTATTGGCAGAAATCTTGTGCCATAAGAATTTAAAGGTAATTCCTTCATTCACACGGCCATGCCTCTCCTTGTGAAAACTGTGAAAATAACTTTCTCTTCTTCGAAATGCAGTGAAAGTAGCTTCCATGCTTCACAAACACGCGCATCCGGTATACATGCTTTACAATGTAACATGAAATATTGCAGCAATATTGTGTGGTACAAGCGTCCATTGCCAACGGGCGTTAAAATACGTATTTATTATAATGTATCCGTGGTTGAAAGCTGGTACCCCACTTCAAAAGACACACATGCTACTGCGTCTATTCCCTTAAAACCACGTATAGTTGGTGCATAGCAAACTGGAAAAGGTTTCATGCACCAAATGTTTAAAGTACGCACTAGAAACAAGATGTCCCTATCGCGTTCAACTAAGAAAGGTGAAGCTTCAGGACCCTCTAATTTTTAAACGTTGTCATATACTGAGCTTTCACGCTCACGTGAATTGTTATTTGAATTTAGTGGCCCTCTAGGCTCGTGTCTGAAAATGCCTCTAAGCTAAAGAAGCGTGCCCTGGCATTCTGGAGTAGTTAAATTTAGACGACTTGCATTATGGTGTTAAAGCTGCTAAAGGTCTCGAGCTGCATTTTTTTTTTCACTACGAACATCCTTTAGGCCGAAGTCCCTTTCCGGGCTCTTGTTACCGAGAGTATCCCATGGCAACATGTTATGTCCGGTTTTTTTTTACACAAGCATTCAGAGACATTGCATGTGGTTGATCTTTTCCGTGTTCGCAACTCAGACGAAGTGGTGAAAGCATTGGCTGATCACAACCCTTCTAGTTGTACGGCCTTCAGCGTAGACGTAAAAGACCTGTTTTATTCTTTGCCACATGGTTACCTCATGAACTGTGCGAGAGAAACTATTGTAGAGTACAATTATGAAGTGGTGTTTAGAAACAATGTCGGTATTCCAGTGGAAAGCTCCTTGGAGTCATTTTGAATTTACTTATGCTTTACATAATCCCATTTGAACAGAGTCTGTACGTACACGAATCGCAAATCTGTATCGGGTCAAGCGTCGCCCCAGTACTAAGTAATATATTTTTTAGAAAAGTGTACCATACTCATTAACAAGATGTCGAGATTACAAAACTACATGTTTTGGATACATCGACGAGTACTTGGTGCTTGTCGATCACGTAAATTTTATGGTGTCTATGATTCAGGTCCCGAGCAAAGGGAAAAAGGTCTGCGCTTGACTTCTGAAGTCCCAAGAGACAATGACTTGCATTTCTTAGATCTTTCATTGCAGTCCCAGAGGGATCATGTTTTCTGGTGTTATTCCTCCCGTTCTGAAAAACCATTTTCAATCTATCACTCTGCTCGTTCAAAAATTTGTGAAGAATGGATTGGCCACGTTTTGTCTTGACTCCACTTCAACGAAGACAGGGCCCTGTCCTCAGGCTGTACGTGAGAGTTTTTATAGCAGTTTAACAGATTGGAAGCGGCTGGTTTGCCGCGCCTGGTCCTTGCCTCCACTTCACTGCGAGTGTTTCATCACTCGTAAAGGGAACCAAACAGAGCCTTGATTCTGTAGTCTTGCGCGCGAATTGGCAAAAAAAGTTCGTTGTTATCCCATACCTGCACTCGCTCTCGCACCGTTTGAAGAAGGTTGCCAGTCATTGTGACATATATGTTGCCTTACGTGCTGGCAAAAATCTAGGCAGCGTGTGCGAGAGAGTTGATAAAAAGAGTGCTGAAGAGCAGGCCGCTGTCTGTCTGCACTAAAGGTTGCTCTATAAAGCAATGTAAGCGTTTCACTGACTATTGATTGATATGGGGGGTTTGACGTCCCAAAACCACCTAATTATGAGCGACGCAGTAGTGGAGGGCTCCAGCAATGTCGACCACCTGGGGTTGTTTAACGTGCACCTAAACCTGAGCACACGGGCCTACAACATTTCCGCCTCCATCGGAAATGCAGTCGCCGCATCCGGGATTCGACCCCGTGACCTGCGAGTCAGCAGCTGAGTACCTTAGCCACTAAACTATCGCGGCGGGGGTTCCAATGACTATGCGTGTGGAGTGGTGTACTTCATTCTTTGATTGATAGATATGTGAGGTTAACGTCCCAAAATCACGATATGATTATGAGAGACGGCGTAGTGTTGGGCCTCAGCAATTTTGACCACTTGGGGTTCTTTAACGTGCATTCAAATCTGAGGCCATGGGCCAACCCTTTGTCATGCGGTGGTACGCACATTAGGCAGACGGGAGGTTGTCTCAACATCCGTCTAAGGAGGGACGCTAACTCTCTGAAAGGTACACCATCTACGCATCTCTTCCTTCATTGCCGGCAGCGCAGTTGCGCAGCCGAACTAAAAAAATCGCTGTGGTGATGAGGCGCTGGCACCAGCGCACGCGTAAAATCACAGAAGCATTTGAAATCATAAAAGTGAGAGACAGGCACGAGATCCAGCCTTCAATCGCTCTCACAGATGCTGAGATTTCATATCTACAGCATACGTGATTACTTGTTCAGTGGAAGTTAGGATTTTCAGTGCCTTCTTTTGCGCCTCTAAATTATACCGTTTTCTCCATTGAACTATCATTTGTTTTTTGTGCTTTTTTGGCGCTGATCGCGACAAGCTCGTTTTATTTGGGAAAGTTAGCAGGGCTTGATGTGCCTTATCACGCCTAGCAGCATATTCTCCTGGAAACAGGCAGTCGTCAAGGATCATGCACCTAAGACAAATAAGTCCATTTTCCTTCATTAGCAGTGCTCGCTGCTCAACGAATGTATGGCACTCTGAAGTTATTTGTTGTAGTGTCTCGCAGGAGCCACACGACGAACGTGTGTACACGTCCTTGACGATATAAATCGATCGCGCACAGACACACAACCAACCTTTAGCTAATACAACGGGGTTCTCTCATGACGAGCCCATCCGCGACCACGAGCACGAGGGGGAAACAATCCGCTTGCGACCCGCTGATCGTTGAGCTGCTTTAAGAGAAATCGGCGGATCATCAGACGAGCATTGTCAAACTTGCATGAAATTTCTTGGCAGTCACTCTCGTTGTGGACACAAGTTTAAGCGAGGTTTGCGGCTTTTCATTCCGAGGAACTCCAACGTGCAAAAGTATCTATTGACACAGTAGACACACCCCCCGAGTAATAAGTTTTGCGGCAGATTTAATGATGCTGCGTATAATTGGGCCATTGAAGTCTTTTCTCAACAATCATATAAGAGCAGCACGAGAGTCTAGAAGTACGATATCATTTGATACTCTCCTTTGATACTTATAATTCTTCTGGTGCGTATTTCAGAGCAACGTCAATTACAGCCAGTTCTGCAGTTGTTGGAGACAATGGATGCGGTATACGAAACACCCGTCGGACGCGGAATGAAAAGCAAAAAAAAGCTGCAGCGCCATCTTGGCCGTCACTGCATACAGATCTGTCTGTGAAAACTTTGAGATACCTGTGAAATTTTTCAGACAGGTGGGACTGGGCCAACCGAAATAGTGCCGTAACAGGTTGGTCAAACTTTTTGAGCATTCCGGGAACGGAAAGATAAACGGGGAACATGCATTTATTGTGCTCTTTTGTAGTTGAAAGAAGTAGGATCTTCCAAACTGCCAGTAATCGTGGTAAACAACGACGCCATTTTCCCCATCCGAGAGTCCCGGCACTGGGTGAGGTGCTTAATAAGTGCATTGCTATCTGTTGCTTTATACAAGCGCACAATGTGGAGCGGGGAAGGTTATTAAAATAATACATATGAAAAGCCCCTTAGACTGAAATGTTTATATTTTAACATGGTTCGGCAAGACACACCTCTCCATTTGTAAGCACCTCTCCATTTACAATGGGAGTGCTGAAAGTCACGAGGCAAGCGTGACGCGTTTTTTACCATCGTACGATCCCGCCCTGCTTAGCTTCCAGCGGTTTTGTCCGGGAGAGAGACGAGAGAATGCAATAGCCACGTGCAAGAAATCTTTGCACTTCCGCTTGAACTAGATAGATTCTTATTTGTATTGCGATAGCAATTATATGGGCACTCTCGGCTGCATTTTGCCGCCGTGGTCGGCGTCAACGTCAGCGTCAATGTCATGCACCATATATGTATACGTATCCATATATATGAAAACGCCAAAAAATTCTGAAAAAATACTCCGGTGTGTGGAATCGAATGTGTTACCTCCGTGTCGTGAATGCGAGACGTTAATTACTGAGCCACCAAGATGCACCTTCTTCGACGCTTGAGAGAGACAGGTTTATTTACAGAAAGGCAAAGAGATCGGCCTGAGTGATAGCTAGCTCTAGCCTGCTACTCTACATTGGGGGAAGGGAAAGGGGAGAAGAAAGACTAATGGATGACGATGGTGAGATAGAGAGGTGAGTACGTAGAAGTATTTCTAGCTGAGAAAACGTTTTATAGCCACGCTTATATTCAAGCTACTTCCAAAAAGGTTATAACGCTCTTATGATCACAGTTGCACTGTTGGCGTCTGGCCAAGAGCCCAACACGGTCTCATCAGTTAATGACCTACTGCGATATCAATCAGTAGAGGAAATCAGTGTTTGTCGTTCACGTGCGTATGCTGTGCACTCACAAAATATTTGCGCAAGTGTTTCTGGCACATCACAGTGTTCACAATTAGGACCTGTGTCTCTACGACCGATGATAAGTGCGTAACGTCAGCTGTGTATGCCACACCAAGACGAATGCGGTGAATCGTACTTGCCAGTTGCCGTTTCAATTTTGGGGACATGCGGAACCTCATTTCCGGGTCCCATATGTGAAGTCGCTGGTGTCGCCGTTCTGGTTTGGTCCAGTGCTGAAGTGTGTAGCTGCGCATCACGCAGCGAAGCAGGGCGTTCGTGTCAGCTCGTGAAAACGCAATGCGTACTTCAGGGGCACTGATTAAGTCATTTTTAGCTTCAGCGTCTGCCTCTTCGTTTCCCATAACGCCGCAATGAGTGGTAATCCACTAGAAAGTGATAAGATGGCCATTTGTTAAAACAACCTGAATAAGTTCTGCGATTTCTATTGCCAAGATGTAATACGGACCTTGCTTCATGATGCAACTATAGGTTTGCAAAGTGTGTTTGACATCACAGAAAATTGTCTAGGCTCGAGGTTGCTCAAATGGCAAGCTATTTATACCTACCATTTACTGCTGTTGACAGGCATCTTGGAAGCCTTGGGGGGAACTATCGTGTTTTCAGCATTATCAGCAACATGGCGCCACGAGCGCGCGGCGGCTCTCATCTCTCACGCGTACTTTGGCCCGCGGAAAGAAGGGGAGTGGACGACCTCTCGCCCACACTTATCTCCCGGTGGGGAGGATCATACGTCTTGGCTGGCGTTAGGTTTGAAACGATTCTGTTGTAGTTACGGGGCACACAAACGTTACTGAAATCGTTGCACATCCTCCGTTTTCGAAAAGGGCGTGCTTTTCAGACACAGCGAAGTAACAACTGGGACGCTTATTCGCATTCATCTGTACCTGTGAGTACGTTTCGCACGTCATTTGTGCGTGAGAAACGCGGGGCAAGTTTCAATCTGCTTGCCATTGTGCGTGTGACCTTCCATTATGTTGCTATTGCGTTGAATGCTTCCCCTTTGCGGCAAAGCTGTGACTTATTTTTTTTTCGGCGGTGAATTCGTGAGGCAATAAGCTCCTTCAGTGAATTCATTTCATGGCTTCTTGTAAAAGTGTGACAGGGCCTTAGGACTAAAAGCAGAAAACCACGTCAGGCAGAGCACTGCCGTACCAAGAAGTCCACCAGTCACTTTGGTGGAGTTGATTGAAATGTTGGATAAGGAACACTAAATTCACGAGTAAGAATGGAATCAGCAGGAGAACTTTCATTCTCTCTTCCTTATGCGTGCATTTTTGACCCGAAAGACCAAATCTAGGCCGTCCAGCCGGCCAAACTTCCCGCCAAGCTCGAAGAGCTACTGGCCCCCTTTCAGGCGCACACGTAGTCCCCAATACCCATTGGACTTTGCGAAAGGCATTTTCCTCGCTCTCTTAGAGCACTCCTGGTACTATAATAGGAATGATAAAGTGTGCCAAATGCCCACTGGTGCTGCCCTCTTTTCTCGGTCTTTTATTACAAATACAAGAACGAGAGATAGGTAGTTTATAATTTCGCAGCAGGGACGACTTCAAATAAGCATGTCCTAATCACCCATCTCACGGTGAGAGAGAGAGAAAATAAGGTTGAAAGAAAGGCAGGAAGGTTAACCATGACTGGGCTTGGTAGGCTACCTTGCACTGGAGCGAGGGTAAGTGGAATAAACGTTAGAAAGAGACAAGGAGAGAACTGTCACTCACACCATCGACCGAAACGGCAGTTATGTGCTTAACATCACAGACGGCGAGTTACACCCGTGTCTTGATGAAATGAGCTCATTCGTTGCATTAACTTGTATGCACGCTCCCATGCACCCAAAATCTTTCTGATGATGGTGCCGCTTGCGTTCCCAAGCAGTAGAATTCTGAAGGATTGCGAGAACTGAAGTGATGGTGTCAAGCAGTTGCAACACGCTTCGAGCTGTCGGTGTCTGCATCTTGCTCAGCAGCACGCGCATATCACTGACCAGGCTGCTGACCATGCCGATCAGTTGTCCTTCGCCCGTCAAGTTATGAGGTACCGATGAAGTGACCCTCACTGTCTAAGTCTGATGCCTCTCATCAGGTGCATGAATCTTTGGGAGTCCGGGCCAAGCGTCACCTGCATTGCTGGCAGAGGCATCACTGTCCTTTGAGACGGGAGCGTTCGGACTGTGTAGTAAGAATGACGCGTCTGCTCCACTTCTCATTCATTTGACACGTGGATATTCATTTCAACACGTGAGCCGTTCATAACTCGATAACGACACCCGTCTCATGGAGCAAGCGCTTCAGTGAAATCTTGGCGAGGCCTTGGCAGTGTCGTAACCACGAAGTAGCCGTCGGGCATTTCAAGAACACGAGTGCATGCGTAACAAGCCCTGCGTATAAAAATAGCTGTCTCGACGGGCCCTTACCACGTACAACAAAAGGTATACTCTTGGCTACAGGGCAGATCTACGAAAAGAAGCGCACATACGTGGATGCCCCTGCGGGTGGTTAAAGAAGCACGAACAGCTGAGTAGAAGGAGAGAGTGTAGGGAGATATTGCTGGCTGATCTTCGTTTTTTCTTTCGTCTGTGATGCCGGGAGTGCGATTCTAGTTGATTATGCATGCCGACGAGACCACAAAAGCCCGCGAGCCGAGCGGAGCAGTCGTCGTTCGCAGCGGGTGGCCTCGTCGTTGTCTAAAGAAAGCAAAGCGAGCGTACGGGCCTCGTAGGACGAGCCGAGCAGCAGAGCAGCTGTTTTCGACGCCCTCTTCTCTCGTCTCTGTCCGCAATCTGTGCATGCGTAAGAGCAATCTACTGCGTATGCATGGCGGTACAGCGAGAGCTCGAAGTAAACGTCGGTAAAGGGTGCCGTTGTATGCTTCTGCGTTGCTTCGTTCCCCATTGTACTTATTTTACTTACATGACCGTTGTCCTGCTCTCCTTGCATGATGCTCTTGTTGATTCGCCACCACGAATTCATATCGAGGTGCGAACAAAACCGGTGTCTTTGCATAAGCAATACGCCTCGGTCATCATTAAATGCGAGCCGTTATATACGTTTGTGATGTTTACCTTTTGATATTTTAACCACGTCTTTTTTTAGTGCAAAGAAGAGAATCGATAGTTAGAAAGACAGTGAGGTCAGTCAATAGTAAGATCGCCTATCTACCCTGCGGGTAAGAATGTGGCACAAGGAATAAACTGCTAATGGCTGGTGCAAGCAACTGTTATTTATTGAGTCCATGTGTGATAGTTACGTGACATTAATTGCACAGCCACAGATAAAACATATTTAGCAGGACTATTTTGATAAAGTTGATTGCAGAGTGCATTCGCCCGATAAAAATATTACTCATATATATATATATATATATATATATATATATATATATATATATATATATATATATATATATTGTAATGAGCGAGACAGAGAATAAGAGACAACACCCGATCCTGGACCAGCTATTCTTATTCTGACTTCGTTCTTCTCTTCTTTTCCCTAGCTACCCGCGCGCCGAAGCACCAGCGTCTTTCTTGGCCATCACAATATACATATATATATATATATATATATATATATATATATATATATATATATATATATATAATGTGCTTTCACATAACTTGTTTATTCACCTGACCTTTCGACGGGAGCCCCGTCTTTTTCAAGGCATAATCATTGATTATGCCTTAATATTAACTGCCATAATATGCGGAAAGCAATTATTATGCATATATTTTTAGACCACAGTGTTGCAAAGTTGGCATAATTATTGTTTTAGCGGGTTAATGGTAATTTTATTTCCTGAAACTTTTGCGAACAAGTGCCTTCTCGGTAAAAGAAAACTTAACTTTACCTAAATTCTCTTTTTTAAAAATTCTTAACTTTGTAGGGAAGAATGCGGGACGAAGACGAATCAGCAAGCAAGGCAAGCCACGTACTGCGTTGGCGATATACGCGCACGACCCGAGCTGGCGCTTGCTTGATTTCGGGCTACTGACATTCCTCGGTCTGCTGACGTTCCTCGGCCTTCCAGTTCGTCTGTACGTGAATAAATCACGTGACAACATGCGTAATCCGGTAACTCATACGTACGACATTCATAACTGCTCTTCCGTATGCACTAGTGGCGAACAAGAGAATCCGCGTGCACACTTCTCTGCGGCGCCTCACATTTTTTTCACTCGTTTCATGGCAAGTTTGACTTACAGAATGAACGAATGCAAGCTGTTTTTCATGCTACATGTTTTTCGTCAGACATTTTTTTCCTAGAACAGGAGTTCAAATGGTACGTCAATTAGCAATGTCTGGTTAATGCGGACAGTGCGGTCACAAGTCTTGGATTCATAGACTTATGTTTAGGCATCTCTAAATATTAAGACACACAGATTGGTGGGAAAGAGCTGTTTGGGAACGCGTCGAAATAAGACATTTCTGTATAATATGGATTCTCCCGGTCTCGATGGCACGCCTGCCTACGTGTACACGAAGGGCGCGTATAACCGCTGGTATTCGCTCCAAACGTTTCTATAGATGGCACATGCGTAAAACTCGTGGTTTTCATTTGAATACAGGAAATACATATGTGGTTTGGTTACCTTCGTTAAAGAAGGAAAAACGACAGTGTAATACTACCAGTTAGCACTTACGTGCTTAAGTACACCTCTTAAATTTCTAATTTTGGTCACGCTATCTATATAGCGTGACAGATCTGTACTATTCTTTAGCTGTGCAGAAATTGCAGTAAGAAACCTATTTTTCCTAAATATCCTTTCCTTTAATGAAGCCTTAAGAGCCAGTCACCCAAACCACCAATGAAGCTGATCTCTAAAGATCCCCACTTGTCACAGTTGGTCATTCGCAAGTTGCGTAAAACGAGTTCGTGCGGAATGGTTAACCTCACAAAAACGGAGAGGAAAAGAATGGTGTAAAGGCTAAAGTACGGTGGAAGAGTGAAGAGGAACCATTCTGTGACGTATACAAAAGCCAACAAAAACACAAAGCACACGAACAAAAGTGTTAGAGAGTTCTCGTGTACCAAGAAGCTCGCAGGAGTGAGCAGGCGAAAGACGAAAGTCAAGTGGATCCAAATGGCGCAAATCTAGGCAACGAACTACGACAAGAACAGACCTACCACAGAAATTCGGGTGTGAAACAGACGTATAGGGATCCGTCAAAACAGCGGCTTCTGATCCGCCACGGCCGTAAGTCCAATTGATAAGAAAGCAGGAAGGATGCAGATGTATACATCGTGCAAAAGAGGAAAAGCAGGAACGCGGAAAGGGAAAAAATGGGCTGTTAGGGAATGGTTAGTTATATACAAACACAGTAGAGGAGTACGCCAACACGAAAGAAGTCACGGTGTTGAAAAAGGAAGGAACACACAGGTACTATAGTAAAAAAGAAAAAATAATAATAAACTTCGTTGCGGAAAACCACATAAACTGGGGTTACGATGTGTCCACTTCGTCACTGGTCATGCGTAGGAAACAAATAAACAAGCTTATTCGCGCTCTAGCACCCCAGAGTAGGTTTGCTGCTTTTTCTCTTATTTTATTTTTCTTATTTAGCGTTTCTGTCCTGCTCACACCCGTTTTGTTCGCCACAGGCCTGCTTCCTGTCGCTTTCTTCCCGGATAACCCTTAGCATTGTC